TAAATAAATAAATAAATAAATAAATCTTTTTAAAAAAAAAAGAGTACTGGGCTTACAGGCATGTGCCACCATGCTTTGGTGCCATGTGATTTTTTTTAAAGGAGAAATATATGCATTTTTATTATTATTACTATTTGTTTGTGTGTGTTTTAGGGAAGGGTCTACAGGGTGTTCAGGGTCTCACTACTAGAAGTGATCCTCCTGTTTACAGCCTCCCAAGAGCTGGGATTACAGGTGCATGCCACCATGCCCAGTCTTTTTTCTTTTCTTTTCTTTTTCCAGAACCAGGAATTGAACTCAGGCCTTTGCACTTGCCAGGGAAGTGCTTATTCCACTGAGCCATCTCCCCGGCCCCTTTATTTATTTACTTATTTATTTGTGTGTGTGTGTGTGTGTGTGTGTGTGTGTGTGTGGCCAGCTCAGCCCACCTGGGGGCAGGGCTGGCTGGCATGTGGTGCTGGGGATTGAACCGCTGTCCCTGTGCTTTGCTAAGCTTGTTCTAAGTAGGTGCTTTAGACCACTGAGCCATCTCACCAGCCCCATGCACAGTCTTAATTGCCGTCTCAGCATGCCTCAGGGGCAGGGCAAGCACAGCAGGCCTGGGGATCGAATCCCCGGCCCCTGCACCTGCTTGCAGGTGCTTTAATCCACTGAGCTATTTGGCCGGCCCTTATTACTGAAATACTTCACACAATAAAATTCACCTTCACCAGGCATAGTGGCACATGCCTGTAACCCCAGCATTTGGAAGCTGAGGCAGGAAGATCACTCTGAGTTCAAGGCAGGGCTGGCTATGCCTAAACTCCATAGTGAGACCCTGTCTCAAAAGACAAGAGCACTGAATTGTGCACTTTATATGAATGAATTATATTAAATGTGAAGTGCCTCAATAAAGCTGCTATAAAAATTATATATGGATTTTTTAAAATTAAAAATAATAAAAGTACTAAAGAAACTTTAAGTAGATATTAATGGCTAAAGCTGGAAAGTAAGAAAAAAATTACAAACCCAAAAGAGCGGGAGGTGTAGGTGCAGAGACCAAGGCCAACCTGCAGGGAGCGTGGCAGGGGCCACCTGGCCCAGACCATATCTAACTAGACGAGAACTGAAGGGTACATTTGGGAGTCAAAAACTGGCCCCAAGAACTGTTTCATTTTTCTGCTTTGGTTTTTTATTTTATTTTATTTATTTTTATGAATTTGGTACAGGGTCTCACTATGCAGCTCAGACTCATAGTGATCCTCCTGTTTTCAGCCTCCCCATGGCTGGGATTACAGGCGTACATCACCACACCCAGACTTGGTTGCCGGGCTCAGCGTGACCAAGGGCAGGGCTGGCACAGCATGGGGTACTAGGGCTCGAACCCCAGTCCCTACAGTTGCCTGAGCAGGTGTTTAGTCCACTGAGCTATCTTGCCGGCCCTCTGCTTTGGTTTTTTGAGACAGGGTCTCACTACAGAGTGCAGGCTGGCCTTGAATTCATAGGGATCCTGCTCCCTCAGCCTCCCAGCGCTGGGATTACAGGTATCCCCCCCCCCCCCATCAACCTGGATCTTTTTGTTTGGTTTTAGAAATCCTTTGAGGCTTGGAGTCCTATATTCCTCCCAGATCTTCACACATGACGACAGCTGGGCTGAGGAGCCTGCTGCGGATGAAGAGCAAGGCCTCTCACGCGACTCATGCGCCCTGCCCAAGCTGCAGCCCTGCCCCTACCAAAATGTCCTGGTGGTTCAAAACAAGTAAGAACCTTAGGAAGAAATGCTATTTAACAGCACACTGTTCTAGGAACTGGAAGATAGCAACTGATTCTTAATTTCAATTTTTCTGTTCAACAGAGATTGGGGCCAGAGAGATAGCTCAGTAGAATAAGTGCTTGCATGGTAAGAGCAAGACCCTGAGTTCGATCCCCGGTACCACAAAAAAAAAAAAAAAAACAGAGACTGCAGTGACAAAGTATACTGTGAATTGAGTTCAGAGCTGGAAGAGTGCTGGATGAAAATCTTGCAAATTATGGGCTAACACTTTAATTAAGTGGGAACAGTCATTCTTTTTTTGACATAGGGTCTCGCTATGCAGTTCAGAATGGCCTTGAACTCACTTTGTAGAGTCCAGGCTGGCAGCCAGCTCACAGTGATCTTCCTGCCTCTACCTCCCAAGTTGTTTTGGTTTTCTGAGACAAGGTCTTGTTATTAGTTCAGGCTACTCAGCAAACTCACAGTGATCCGCCAGCCTCAACCTCCTGAGAGCTGGGATTACAGGTGTGCATCACTACAGCCAGCCAAATGTGCACTCCTAGAGCCCTACCGCCACCAGAGATGCCTACGTGTGTCACTGTCACACACAGCAGAGGCAACAGCCTATACTAGTGCACAGCTGGCAATACCAAGGCAAGGAGAAGCGCTGCAGGCAGAGGAACAGCGAGTTCCTCAGCGGAGACTGTCAAGGGCCACACAAGTGAGGGCTGCCAAGGCCACCCCCAGGGCTAGGGACACATGCTGGGTGCTGTGGGCTCCAGGTCTATGCCTCCTCAAACTCCCACACTGAAATCATAACTCTCAGTGTGATGATATCAAGAGTGAGGCGAGCCAAGCACGGTGGCTACTCAGGAGGCTGAGGCAGGAAGACTGCCAAATTCCAGGCCAGCCCAGGCAACTGAGCAAGACCTCAGCAAGATCCCAAAATAAAAAACAAAACAAGGGCTGGGATGGAGCTTGGTGGTAGAAGACTCCTTGGTTTCATTGTTGGTCCCACAAAACAAAACAAAAAAGAACGAAAGAAGAAAGGAAGTGTTGGGCCTTTGGCGGCATTAGGTGACCAGGGTGGGGTCGGCACACCTAAGACCCCCACAAGCCCTATGCCTCTCCATCCAGTGAGGGCACAGCAAGGTGCCTCTGCAGCCCTGAACCTGCTGGGACCTTGATCTGGGAGCAGCCCCGCCCTGGAACTGAGTCCTGCAGCCCCGAGCCCCGAGCCCCGAGCCCCAAGCCCACTCACCCCCTGGCTGTGCTGCACCACACTGCCAACATTCTGTAGCGACTGGAAGTTCTGGGCGTTCACAGAGCCAAACTCCACGATCTCATCGTCCACCTGCAGGCCCTGAGAGGAGAAAACATGGAACAGGTAAGAGGTCGGTTACAGCGTTCTGCAGTTCTCTACCTTTCAACACCTCATTATTTTTTATTTATTTATTTTTGTTCTTTTGCAACAGGGTCTCTCTGTGTAGTTCAGGCTGGCCTCAAAATCATGGCGATCTTCCTGCCACAGCCTCCTAGGATCACAGGTGTGCGCCACCACGCCTGGCTTCTCAAGGGACAATTGTTCCTTTCTATCTGTGTCCCAGGTGTCCCTGGGAACAGACCTGCCTCCCACCAGTTTGTGGGCAGCAGGGGCTGACCTCTACCACAGCCCTGGCCCATAAGTGCAACAGCCCCAGCTGGGTTTGGCAGCGGAGTGAGGGCCCCAGAGCCACAGTGCAGACCCAGCCCAGGGCCACCTCACCCAGCGCCCTCCCAGGTGTGGATCTGAAGGCTGATTACCGCGAAGCTGGCCGGGGAGCCGGGGCTAACACTGTTCACCCTGGCAAAGGGCTGTGGGGGGCCCTGGTTCTCGTCCTGGTCGGGCCTGCGGCTCAGGGCCTCCCTGCGGGCTTCAGCCAGGTCCCGGGCCTGCTTCTCCTTGTCACGGGCGTGGAGCTGGTGCAGGGCCGCCTCCACCTGCTTCATCAGTGCCTTATGGTCATTCTGCAGGCCTGCAGAAGAGGCGCATGTCAGCTGAGGCACACTCAATGAAACACCATGCAACAGCACCAGACGCTGGCTAGCCCACGCAGCCACTCTGCCTAGGACAGCCCCACGAGGCAGGACCCACAAGGGTACCCAAGACCCCTGCCAGTGCCTGGCGCGTGCAGCATCCGACACATCCCCGGGGAGCAGCCCACGTCAGAACATTATAGCTCTAATCAGAATCTGGAAGGTTCTCTTCTGCTGGGCAGATACTTCTGCAGTAGCTTTCAAAAACCAAGTTTGCAGTTATAATAAATGTACCACATTGGGGGCTGGGGAAATGGCTCAGTAGGATACACGCTTGACTGGCAAATGCAAGGATCTGAGCTCAATCCCCCGTTCCGCAAAAAAAAAAAAAAAAAAAAAAAATGTGCCACATTCACATACACGCTCATCAGGGTAACTTGGTACAAAATACATGGGACGGCTCTAAATTGTCCCAATTGTTTTGTAAATCTAAAACTATTCTAAAAATAAAAGTTTATTAGTGCTCTGGGAAGCTGAGGCAGGAGGACTGCAAGGTCAAGCCAAGCCTGAGCTACATATCGAGACTCCATCTCTAAAAGCCAGTAGGTGCTAGGGATACAGCTTTTTGATCACCAATACTGAAAAAAAAAAAAAAAAAAAAAACAATAAATGCCTGGGTGGAGTGGCACACACCTGTGACCCTCGCATGTAAGAGGCTAAGGCAGAAGGATCTCCCTAATTCAAGGCCAGCCTGAGCTACAAAGTGAGTTTAAGGGCAGCCTGAGACCCTGTCTCAAAACAAACAAAACCCAAAAAATAAAAAAAGAAGTGGAGATACAGCTTAGTGCTGGAGCACCCCTTGGTTCAATCCCTGTTATTAAAGAAAAAAGCAGGAAGGGAGAGAGATGCGGCCTCAGAAACAGACCGAGCTGGCCAACAGCTCAGCAACACAGGTGGCCTCTCCAGGCAGAAGAGCAAGGACATGGGTCCCCAGAGCCCTCGGAAGGAGTCAGCAGGGCTCCTCTGGCCGCCAGAACAGGAGAGGATACACCTGTGCAGTCCTAGGCCGAGGCAGGAGGACTGAGAGCCCAGCCTGGGCAACCTGGCAACTGAACAAGACCTTGTCTCTGGAGGGAGGGAACGAGGGAGGGAGGAAGGGCGAAAAGAAGGGACAAAGGGTTGCAGATGAAGCTCCGGGTGCAGGTCCTGGATTGGATCCCAAATTCTACTTAAAAAAAAAAAAAAAAAAGTTTGGTTTTAAACCAGAAAGTCTATAGCCATGTGTCCCAGAGAACAATGACACCAGCTACATGGCAGATTTTGTCTGGTCATGAAGAGCCCACAGTGGAATGTGTTTCTGCAACTTTCCTATCAGACAAAGCCACAAAAAGCTCCAGAGTCTAGCCCACCCCATTTTGCTCCTGCGATGGAGACAGTGAGACAAATGTGTCGGGGCAGAAGAGAGGCGACAGAGGACGCCAACACTGGCAGGCTGTGCCCGGCCACCAGCAGCCCTGCGGCGTGGGCATCCCCAGGTCACTCACAGATGATGTTGTGCCGGGCCGTGCGCACTTGGTACAGGTCCACATCCGCGCGTGGGTAGCCCTCGCAGTCCACCAGCGGCTCATCCATCCCAACACCTTTTTGCTGGAGGGAAGAAGACACAAGGTTGGACAGATGTCACAGGCAGGATGTCCTCAAGACACCCTTCCCCACTGAATCATAATAAAGATGACAGCAGCTGGACAAGGTGGTACACACATGTGACCCCAGCACCCTGGAGGCTGAGCCAGGAAGACTGCGAGTTTGAGCCCAGCCTGGGCTAGCAACCTAGCAACTTAGCAAGTCCCTGTCTCAAAATAACAACAAAAAAGGGCAGGGGATGTAGCTCAGTGTGAAGGTCCTAGGTTCAATCCTCGGTACTGAAAAACATATAAGAAAATAAAGGTGACAATAACCAACTGTCGTCGGCACACACCAGAGGCTTCCCCCAGGTCCTCACAGCTCACTGCGGAGGACACACTATTTGAAATTCATTTCTAATAACACAAGCAATGCGAGCGGGCACTCTCCTTTGCAAAACAAGGCCAACGCACCTGGAATCATGGGCTCCCGGGCACCACCTCCGGGTACCTCCAGGCCCTCAAATCGGGCAGCAGACACTGGCTGGTGGCCTTGGACCTGAGGCACTGAGAACCTTAAGCACTCCGTGGTGGCCATGCTTTCCCAGCCCTGGACGCCCCGATGGCACAGCTGCCTCCAGAGAGCCTGCCAGCAGGGGTCAGGAAAGGGAAACTTCCATCTGCTACACTTCTATAGCTTTGAATCTGACCATGGGAATACACTCCCTGTTCAAAACAACACATTTGTTTCAAGTATATGTTTTTTTGAGTCAGGGTCTCATTATGTTGCCCAAGTTGGCCTCAGACCTCTGGCTCAAGCCAAGCCTCCTGCCTCAGCCTCCCGAGTTGCGGGCATGAGAGATTCACACCAGTGTTGTCTGACTTGTTTCAGTGATTTAGGGTCTTTTCCTGCCTAAGTCAAAGGATAAGCGCAAAAGCAATGAACTGTGTCACAGAGCACAGGGCAGGGGCTCTGCAGCAGGTCAGGCTTGGCCCTGAACATGATTCTGCCCTGTGCGAGCTAAGTGCCCCTGCTCCAGGCCTCGGCTCCCTCGCCCTCTCATTCCACGTATATAGGCAAGGTGACAGGGCCCCAGGCGACACGGCTACACTCTACCACAGGTGAAGCCACAGGTGCAACTTTATTAGAAAAAGGGCCTACACAGGCATGATTAATGATCTCAAGGTGAGACCATCCTCATTTCCAATGACCAATATCCTTGTAAAAGAACGTCAGGCCAGGCGCAGTGGTGCACACCTGTAACCCTAGCACTTGGGAGGCGGAGGCAGGTGAGTGTGAGGTCTGCCTGGGGTACATGGTGAGACCCTGTTTCAAAAACCAAAACATGAATGAGAGGCAAAGGGAGACTTGGGACACAGAGTCACTGAGAAAAACCACAAGGCAAAGGAGCTGAGACAAGTCATGTGCCTACAGCCCAGGCTGTCGACGGCCCCCAGAAGAGCAAAAGGCACAATTTCCCAGAGTCTCTACTATAGCCAACCTGCACCACCCTGACTCTAGAACAGGGATGCTGAAGTGCTTGGTTTATGCCACAGCTCAGTGGTGACTGTCAGATGTCACTTGGGGGATAAATGCTGGCTGGGCTTGCTGGTGCCTCCAGCCACCAGCTGCCCGGGTGCACAGACTCCGAGAAGGGGGACCCATTAGCTTTCCTCTGGGGCCCATCATACCTCTTTTTTTTTTGTGCGGAATTAGGGATTGAACTCAGGCCCTTGCACTTGCCAGGGAAGCACTTATTCTACTGAGCCATCTCCCCAGTCCCCCCATACCTGTTTCTCAAAGGGCATGACCCACACCACTGGCAGCTCACACATGGGGCATTAAAGAATCCTGACACTAAAGGACATACTCCTTTTTACTGCTAACTTATATCCCACTGTATGGGTGGACCAAATTTTATTTATTCATCTGTTACACAATTCTTGGTTGTTTCCACTTTTTTTTTTTTTTTTTAATGTTTCCTTTATTTCTTTTTTTTTATGGTCAGCTCAGCCCACCCTGGGGGCGGGGCTGGCATGGCATGTGATGCTGGGGATCGAACCGAGGTCCCTGCATGCTTGCCTAAACTTACCTAAGCAGGCGCTTTAGACCACTGAGCTATCTCGCCAGCTCTGTTTCCACTTTTTGACTCTTACAAAATAAATGTCAGGGGGCTGGTGAGATGGCTCAGTGGTCTAAAGCACCTACTTAGAACAAGCTCAGCAAAGCGCAGGGACTGCAGTTCAATCCCCCAGCACCACATGCCAGCCAACCCCGCCCCCTGGTGGGCTGAGCTGGCCATACACACTAAATAAATAAATAAATAAATAAATAAAAAGGATTAAAAAAAATGTCAGTAACAGTTTCTGTGTAGACATGCTGTCAGTAATCATGGGTATTACCTCTAGGAACTGCTGGGTTATTTATTTATTTAGGTAAGAAGAATCTAACTCAAGAATCTAACCTTGCTTTTGTCATGCAAGCACTGTGCCACTGAGTTGCATTCTCAGCCCTGTAACTTTTTTTATTTGAACTGCTGGGTTATGTGGTAACTCTGTATCTAACCTCTGGAGGAAATGCCAAGCTGTTTCCCAGCAGTAGAGCATTTTACATCCCCAAGACCAATGTATGAAGGACCCAGTTTCTCCACACCCGCCCCAGTTTTATTAGCGCCGTGGCGTGGCAGGCAGTATGAAGTGGCATCTCGCTGTGCTTTGGATTTGCACTTCCCTAACAGCCAATAATCAGCATGACTTTAAGTACTCTCTGACCACTTGTACTGACCATATTTTCTTTGAAAAAAATCTCTCTTTAAACCCTTTGCCTATTTGTTTGTTTGTTTGGAGACAGGATTTCCACTACACAGTTCAGGCTGGCCTTGAACTCACTTATGCACTCCAGGCGGACCTGAACCCATCATAATCTTCCTGCTTCCCTCCCTAGTGCTGGATTACAGGTGTGTACCACCTCTGGCTTAGTCTTTGCCTAATCTAAGATCACAAAGATTTACTCCTATGCTCTATTCTATAATTTATAGTTTTAGCCCTTTCAGCTGGGCATTGTGGTGTGCTCCTATAATCCCAGCAATCAGGAGGCTGAGGCAGGATCACTGTAAGTTCAAGACCAGCATGGGCTACAAAGTGAGTTCATGGCCAGCCTGAACTGCATAGGAGACCGTCTCTAAAAGACAAAAAAAAAAA